GTCCGGGCTGGACGAACCCGCCACCTTAGGTGTATGTGGCTGGTGCCTTAGCCACTTGAGCCACAGGCGCCGAGCCAAGGGAATGGATGTTAAGACCTAGATGGAGAAGCCCAGAGATAACATCAGAAATGCTTTAGCACACTCATTCTCCCAGGTACCAGTTCTTTCCAAACCCACTCACTATACTGCTTCCTTTACAAAACCACCTCTCTGGTATGGGACAAACCATGGTAGCCACACAAAGTATTTACCTCCCTTTTTAGACAGTTTTCCATGAACCTCTAGGACATGTGCCTTCCTCAAGGATTCCTTCCAATCCTAGGTTCATAATATCCCCTTATCACATTCCCTGCCACCTACTCAACTGGTGGTTCTAACATAATGACCTGAATTATCCTCTATGTCTTCAAGTCCAAAACTCTCAATCTTCATTCTACCAACCCAGACAACCATACTTGGAGAAGGGGTCAAAAACTCATGTCTACAGGAAACTAACAGATTGCAAAAGTAAGTAAAGTGGCCAGGTAGGGGCCATAATAACCTAGAGAGTATCTTCCCCAGAAAGAGAGCAGCTGTTTGTTTAGTTCTACAGCCAGTTGTTGCCATGTGTGGGTTGAGACCTAGTATAACCAGATTCTCTGATTTTTTTTTTTTTAAAGACAGGGCTCTGTCACCCAAATTGGAGTGCAATAGTGCAGTCATAGCTCACTACAGCCTTGAACTCCTGCCTCAGCCTCCCAGGAGCACACCACTACACCCATTTTTTTTTTGGCCATGGCTGGGTTTGAACCTGCCACTCACCACCTCCAGTATATGGGACCAGCGCCCTACTCCTTGAGCCACAGGTGCCACCCCACCCAGTTCATTTAAAAAAATTTTTTGTATAGGGTGGCTCCTGTGGCTCAGTGAGTAGGACACCAGCCCCATAAACAGGGTGGCAGGTTATAACCCGGCCCCAGCCAAACTGCAACAAAAAATAGCCGGGCTTTGTGGAGAGCCTATAATCCTAGCTACTCGGGAGGCTGAGGCAAGAGAATTGCCTAAGCCCAGGAGTTGGAGGTTGCTGTGAGCTGTGAAGCCACGGCATTCTACCGAGGGCGATAAAGAGAGACTGTTTCTAAAAAAAAAAAAAAAATTTTTTTTTTGTACAGACAGGGTCTTACTATGTTGTCTAAGTTGATCTCAAACTCCAGGCCTTAAAGAATTCTCCTACCTTAGCTTCCCAAAGTGCTCGGATTATAGGCATAAGCCATTGTGCGTAGCCTCCCACTATTTTTTTTTT